CCGTACATTTTCTTTTCCGATTCAACTGTCGACTAGCCATTGTTTATCTAGCAACTCTTGCACCTACTTTTCAGGGAGGACTAACAAGTACAGGGATAGTCCTGATCCCATTCGAATGGCGAGAATATGTCGTCTATGCATAATATTTTCTCAATGCATCTAAAACAATGAGACTAAGCGGATCGTGATCATTATCTATTGGAAGATGAAACTCTTTCTTCTTTGTTGTTGGATTACAATGTTTTTATCGTTAGATGGAATTTTTTTATAAACTGCAATATCTTTATGTGTTATGTGCTTATGTTTTCAGAATAAGATTCTCTTAATAGCAATTTGGCATCATCAGATTATTAGCAAGCTAAAAAAATAGGAGACAAAATATGAATAGTCATTTACTAAATTGTGCGAAAGAAAACAAAAAATTTTCCACTTAAAGAGCAGAGTTATAAAACTTACCACTTGATGTTTGTCGGCCTTAATACATACATATAAACTGCACAACACTGCTTTCTTCACATTTTATAGCCTATTCATTGCTCTAATGGCACCTACCCTATACCTACTTCATTAAATTCAAATAAAGCAATAATTATATTTTGCATAATAATAAATAATATAGTGTAATAATAATAATAATAATAATAATAATAATAATAATAATAATAATAATAGGAGATCACCTGACTATAAAACGTGTAACAAACAAGAATTTCCGCTCCGGGAAAAAACCGAAGTTTTGAGGTATATTGGTTTAATAAGTGTATGACAGTGGTGTGTTGTGGAAGCTAGGACGTCCCTTTGTCAGCCCAGCGTTTTTTGAAGTGTTTTTTGGTGAGGTGAGTTCAACTGGATAATTTTTTTGGACGATTAGACAANTTGGAGTCAGAGCTTTATAGCACTCAGAAGAGATATAGCTAACCTAAGATAGAAGGTTTGGATGTTAGGGCGTGAAATGACCTTAGCCGTTAAAACGCCCTTAAAAATTAATAATAATAATAATAATAATAATAATTGTATGTAAATATTAAATATGATGGAAAGTCTGGAATGTTTCGTTAGTAACTATTTAATGTCAAGACTTATAAAGACAGCTAATAATTTTAGAATAAATAAATAATAAAAACTATATATACTAAGAGTATACATACCATGTACTATGTAATAAGTACACACACTGACATGCAAATTCCGCCCACTTGTAATATAACTTGATTTAAATATATTTTTCAATATATTAATCAAAGTGTCTCGTTTTTTAGGGTTTAATAATTGTGTCTTTGTCTAAAACAGTAAAAAAAAGTTAATTAGGAAAATTAAAAATTAAAAACAATTTTAAAAAAGACGGACAGATAAAATTGGTTTTCATTTTGTTTCTAATTAACATTTCAATATCGCGTATTTCCTTCTGTTGCTTTAATTACATCTCGAAGACGCCTCGGCATACTCTTTACCAGACTGAAAATGTCTCTTTGCTCGAGGTAAGCCCATTCTTCACGAAGAATCCTTTCAAGATCCAGGATGTGATGGACGTGCTCTTATTTACGTCTTTTAAGGTAAACTCATAAATGTTAGATGGGGTTCAAATCTGGAGAACGGGCTGGACAGGCTAAGACTCTGATGTTATGCTGTTGAAGTTACCGTTGTTCTGTGCAAGCGTCATGTGGACGGGCATTATCATGCATTAGAATAGGATTGTCGCTGAATTCCACGAGGATAGGCAGCGCATGTCGTTCCAAAATTTCATCCGCATAGCGATTGGCCGTCCAAGATCCTACACTAACAACAACCAACTCTGTGCGACTCTCCATTGAAATTCCCGCCCACACCATCACTGAGCTACGTTGAAAAGGTTGGCTCTGGGAAAAATTACTGGCTTCATGCTATTCATTTCGCCTTCTCCACAATCTTTCACCCCCATCTGGAGATCGTAGAGCAAATCTACACTTATCTGTAAAAAGGACAGCAGACCAATCGTCCAAAGACCAATGGCTGTGTTCTCGAGCAAATGCAACCCGTGCAACTCTGAGTTCTGGTCAATTCTGGTCCTCTTGCGGGGGGAAAAGTCATCAGTCCATACTGATTTAATCTTCTTCAAGCAGTGCGTTCAGAAATTTGGACACCTCGAACTTTCTGGAGCTGATGAATCGCTTGAACGGTCATTCTGTGGTTCTGTTACCCTAGGGCGTACAGAACCGGTCCTTCTATAGTAGGAACTCTCGAAAACATCTAACGTCGTCTCGCAGAGTTTCGTAGGGAACTCCGATAGCAATAGCCCGCCTACCTGATGGAACGTCCATCATCAATAAGAGCCACACCACGCGCAACATCCCCAGCACTAAGTGGCATTTTATGTTTAAAAAGTGAAATTAAGAAACCAAAGAAGAAAATTAAACAGTTTATTGCTTCCGACTTAAATTGAGACTGAATAAACATTTTAAATTCCGTAAAAATTAAACATTGAAAAATCCTTTATCCTTGTTTTGGATTAAGGATTAAGTGTGATTACAATTAATTGATATTCCCAATTTAAAACATACCATAAACAAATATTTATTGATAAAAACAATGAGAGAAATTAGGGGCAGAATTTTCTTTTATCGAGAAAATGAAAAAAAAAATCATTAGGGTGGAATTTTTTGTCTGCCAGTGTTTAATAATAAGTGAATAAGTTTATATTAGCATTCGAGAAATATATTCCCCACAATTAAACATTTTGAAGTTTGACAAATAATATTAAAGTCCTGATGAAAAGGATGTAGCGGATAGTTTGTCGCCACATTAAACAATAACGATTTATTGAAGTTGTGCTTTTGTTTTATTTTATATATGGTCTGGTATACCACTTGTAAGAATAAATTAAATATGATGGTAAGTCCGTATTTTTCGTTAATTACTATTTTTTATTATTATTAAATGGCTTTCAACCACTATGGGTCATTTGGATAATTAATTACTATTTAATGTCAAGAAATATAAAGACAATTAATAATTTTACAATACGTAAAAATAATAAATGTATACTATATATATGAAACGTCCTAGTCGAAATTATGCTGCCGGTTTCTTTTGTCATTTTTTGACCAATTTAAAATCTGACGTTTTCAGTGTAAAAAATCCTTTAAAATTATGTGTCAGGAGTATAAGGTCTTATTTGAAATTTTGTTGTTGAACTGGGCCTGAGGACCCTGTATAATTTTTCTCCAAAAAAGGAAAAAATTTGAACCTAGACTAAAAAATATTAAATACGTATTTTTTGTTTTTTCGATAGCGTCGTTGGTTCAAGAGAAATTCAGCTGGGCCATCTAAAAAGTACAACCTGTATATACTACATTGATGGACAAATTTAATGCACCACTCAATTTGTTCAATTTAAAATTAAATCCATTATCTTTCTACATTAGTTACAGACAGGTATTAGGAGCTATAGAAGTCGAAATAAACAATTTCCTTTGTTTACTTTTGTACTGATTAGTCCCTTCGTTGATGTCATTTGATATTATTGTTATTCTTAAACGTTTTTCAAGGGCTCCAGTCAAGCATTTGAGAGAGTCAGAGTAAGACTTTACTAGAGGAAAGATACAGCGAGCGCGAAGTCGCCAGGTGACTGGGTGACATCACTCTACAGTAGAAGGCTTCTTCAGTACTTCAGAAAAATAGCGCTTCACTCTAGAAGGTCAGGACAGGGTCGACCAAGGTCTACAGACGAGAGAATACGACTATAGGTTCATCTGTCATCAGGCTTTACGACACCGCAACATTACAGGAAATGAGACAAGAAATCTGATAAGACAAGCCTGAATTGTTTCTATTTCCTCCTGCCTGTAAGAAGGCTTAATGAATATAACCTCGGGGCCTGGCACCCGGCTCGTGGACATGCTTCAATTCGCACGAGAACATGTGAATTGTACATTGGAAAATTAGGGGTGTTGTTATTGTTAATTAAGAATTGTTGTACGAGGAAGAATTCTAACTGCACAAAGGTACTTAGAAGACATAATCACAGAACATGTAGTGCCATTTGCCCCTACATCAGTGAGAGATCCTTGCTAATGCAGGATAATGCCGGGCCATTAGAGCACATATTGTGGATGACTACCTGAATGAGGTTGGAATTGAGTGCTAGCTGTGGTCAGGTTGAACTTCAGATTTGAACCCAATCGAACACATTTCGGACCGACTTAAGCGACGCGTACGACGGCGAATCCCAGGTCCTAACGCCCTAGAAGAGTTTGAAATGGCTGTTCTTGATGAATGGGAAAGAATCTCTCAGAATATTGCTAGAACTCTTTTCCAATGAATGTAAAGACATTTAATGGACGTAATTCTCGTCACAAGTGGAAATACTCGGTATTAAAGAGGAGAAAATGTTTTTTTTTTTTCGTTTTTATTTGTGTTGATTTTGGCAATAATTGTTCTTTTAGAATTAGATGATAAATATTTTCTTTTTAAATGTCTCATTTTTACAACCAAACCTATTTTTGGTATGTAAAATATGAATAAACCTAAAGAGATTAAAATTTAGAAATGGTGCGATAATTTTGTTCATCAGTGCATATAATAAGTAGACTTAAAATTTTTAAAAAAATAATTTTATATTAAAAAAATGACGAGGGGTAAGGCCAAATGAATAAGTATACATATATACTTATACTATATAATAAGTAAAAAAATTTATACTTAATATATATATATATATATACACCCATTTTGCCTTACCCTCGTCATTTTTTTAGTATACATTTATTTAGTTATTATATAGTATATAGTATAATGATGAGGGTAAGGACAAAGCGCTTTCTTCGAGCATTCGAGGAGCACATCCGTTTCAATTAAAAATTTAGAAGTTTGACTATTAATACAAAATCCTGACGAACGAGATTTCCATCATCCGAGGTCCGACTCGTTACCGGCAGATGGGGACAAACGCTCTCCCGCTGGGTTCAAAATAATCAAACTCTCTCTCTCTCTTCCCTCCTCGTCCTATCCCCATTTCCTTTAACATTTCCAAGTTGGATCATTCCTTTCATTTCTCTCAAACCTCCTTACTCTCAGTTCTAGTGTCACAACCGTGAAAGTCGTTTCCAAGTTCGATACTTCGCCAAACCCGCCACATACACAAGCCGAAAGGAAAATAAGACAAAGTAAGTTTGATTCAGATACGTCAGATATATTTTATGAGAAACAGTTTTTTCTAAATTTGTTTTTCCAATTTGAAAATTTTGTAAGGGATGTATTAACGATTGGAAGTTAATTGCGCTGGAAAATTGGAATTGGATGAAAACGGTTTTTGTATATTTAAAATAATGTGTAACGTTTATTTATTAATTTTTTTAAAATATCTTTTCCCTGTCATGTTCTTCTACCAATCTAACACAATATAGTTATAGAATAAAAGATCATTCGTGGCAAATATTACAACTAGTAAGCAAATTTATCAAAAGGTAAAACAAAACAACGTGTTAAATGATGATTATTCGGAGTCGTATAATAATTTACAAAAGTTCTCTTTCTTTATATTTTGGCCCGTTGTCAAATTATGAAGTTAATTCCTTCATTCCAAAATTAACTGTTGTATTGTAACAATTTGTATTTACTCTCTTAATATAAAACTCTTTTGTGCTGTTTAACAGGGAAAAATATTTAGTTTTTCAACTAACGTCCATATATCCACGTTGACATCTTCTCGAATAAAGTGGAAAATAATGTTATTAAAATTTGTACCCTTTGAATTTTCGAAATTGCTGTCCATTGTGCGAACGATTGGTGCCCAAGACGTCGTGATTTAGTTAACAATAAAAAATTTCGAGGAAATAAACAATGATTTAAAACAAAAATAATTAACGAGAAAATATTTCTTGTGAGGTTTTAAGTTTCCAAATTGTAAAAAAATTTAAATTAATATAAAAATCATTAAAAATTATAAAATTAATAATTAATTTTAAATTGATTTAATTTAATACTCCACTTTTTATTGGTTATTGTTAAAAAATCTGTCATTGGTTCCGAAATGTATAGACAGTAAAATGTGAAAAAAATGGTTGTGCGGTTCATAATTATTCCAATCACAGGTTAAAAAAACACTATTTTAATGAATATTATCGTTTAACGACGTTATTTATCTTTAAAGGTGTTGTAGATGAGATTGTATTATTTTCTACGAAGTGTAGAGTTTGAGTTTTTTGAAAGACACAAAATTAGAACTGGTTCATAAAATTTGTGAACTTATTGATCAATATATTATCAGAAGTATTTGTAGTTTTATGCGCACGCTTCTTCAGTACCGAACGATATTTATTTTTACATTTATTGGGAACCCCATATAAATTATAAAAAAAATAATTATTGTCTTAATTTAATTTAACAGAACTGCTTAAAACGAGGAAACAATTAAATGAAAGTTATGTAAAGCTGCGCAATTGTAATACTTTGACTTAGATTCGTCGACAGTTAAATTGATTTTATACTAAAGCGGACCTTGGTCCTCATTTGAAATTGCTGAAACTCTTCTACATAATACGCAAACAAATTACAAATAAATTTTACAGAATATTTGTGCATTCGTCTTATTCAGTTTGAACGTCGCGATCGTAGCGTCGTCAAGAATCGCGATCGTAGGAAAAATTATGCCAAAAAAGTCGATGTTGTGGCAGTTTTTATAGGCAATATTGCATTAAAATTGTGATAATTACGGAGATTGACTGCGAAGGTCGAAGTGAGGTCGGTTTTTTGCCATTGAATCATCGAGATTGAGGCTAAAGCAAACCGTTATTCCGTTTTACCCCAATCCTTGACTAGGAGGAACTGGCTTTAAGTTATTATTCACAAACTGGATATTGATTTTTGATCCACGATTTGAAAAGTGTTTAATCCTTCATGTCTGAATATTTTATTAACTTGGTTATTTCCCTTAATTTTTAAAAATAAAATATTAATTTTATTTTTTAAAATTTGTTTGTAAGATTACTGTGACAGTCACAGAGCAAAATACAGTGATCCTGGCAATTTTGAGTGGTTGTAGGTATATATTGTTTTATATATAGTGTATACAGCTATATAGTTTTCCGTCATATTTGGATAAAAGAGGACGGACTTATTTTCGCGTAAGTTTCATAGGAATTATCGAGTTGAAGACGGCATTTCTTTCCTCTTTCAAATTCAGTGTCCTTCCAAATATATTCTAATCAATGTTCTGTTTATCACTGAAATTCTTGTAGCGTGCAATCCACTGTTTGGTCGCGGGAGGTACGGGGTAGTTTGCTCGTACCAATCTTCAATTTTTTTATACCTCGTACACCCCAACTACACATACCACTCTACTGGTACACACTATTCTACAGTCTCTTCGGAAGATCGGCAGAGACAATGGAAATCAAATCAAAGATAGAAAGTCTATCACATTCATCATTCATACTCGGAAGCAAATCTCTCCTCGAACAAGTTAGTAGGGTTCAAAGGAAGAAACAATGCTAGTGCAGTTTAACGAAATTCCCATCACAGGATAAAATTAATAATTAATGTTTCAAAGTGCTGAATCACAAATTAAATTTGTTTAAAGTTCAACGAAGGAACGACTAGTTTTAACGTAAGAATTCGACGTGACGCTACAAAGGGAGATAAATAGATAGATGAGAGATTGAGAGAGTAGAAAGAAATTGATAGAAAGATAAATATGTATATATATAATATATATATATATATAGATAGATAGATAAATAGGGAGAGAGTTAACGATAATTAACAATTATTGACCAAAAAACCGAGAAGAAATCGCACTGCGATAACGTTTTCAGAGAAAAAAAAAATCGTTTTTGTATGTAGGCAATAAAATTGATTAAAATGCTTAAAATTGTAATGAACGGATGTATAATAATATTTTTCATAAATTACTGGTACATTAATGTTAATTATCGATAGAAGGAAAATATAAAGATAATGAGATAAATGTGAACGGGAGAGAGAACAAAGCGGTGGAGNGAGAGAGGAGAGGGGGAGAGAGAGAGTGAGATAGATAGATAGATAAATAGATAGATAGAAAGACAAAAACCGAGGAAGATGAATAGATATAGATAGATAGAGAAAGAGAGCGAGGTGACATGAAATTGGGAAAATGGCGAAGTTTAGGCATAGGAAATAGTGAAAAATAAGACGAAAATATTTTTATTTTCTCTTTTCTATTAACGAGATATTAACCACGTCCATTAGTGTTATCGCTTATCAGAATTGTCTTTAAATGAAACCATTCAGGCCATTCCGATTGAAGTTTTAGTTTTTGGTACATATCAGGTATACACATTATAACGAAAGAATTATGTATAACTTGGCTTAATAAACAGGGTACTCGGGGGTTTTCCTATTAAAAAGCAATCAAGAAACTCCTTTTGTGCCTAATAAATACTACTACTACGTCAAAACGTACGACATACAAAAAGGACCTGTAAAACGCAAGATTTTAATTTGTACCAAAACAAATCTCAACAATACGAATTATATTCCCAACGAATTGATATTTCCAAATGAAGTGTGTAGTTTAATAAACTTTCTACTTATCCAATTGATTTGTTAACATGGCGAAACAAAACGAACACACTTTAAAAAAAATGCTCTTTCTTAAAATTTAAAAAACTAACGCATAACAGGTATTCCAGCATATAGTTCTAGATATGCTATGCTAACTATGCTAATTTGTTGCAAAGAAAATATTTTCTTCGTGTCAATCGGATTTTTGACAAGATAAAGATTAAATTGTTGTGGAGACTTTTCTCTTTAAATGGTTTCTTAACTCGTTATCTCATGTTTAGCATATTTAAAACATTTTTCCTTGCTTGCTTGCAATTTCACCTTTGGCAGGGGGCGGGGAGACTTAAAAATCAACTTGAAAAAAAACGAGAGCTTTGGGAGCGAATGTCGCGTAAGAATTGAGTCTGTGTCGTAAGAATGGAAATGTCAGTTGCACCCGGTTCTTCGTAAGTCGACTGACTGACTTTCTCCGACGAAGGCGAACACGACCCCACCCTCACTCTTCGATTAATTCTCTCTCTCCTTCTGTGTGTACGTGCGTGTGTGCGCGTGCGTGCGTCTGTGAAGTTTTATTTATTGTTTATTGAATAATTGAACTAAACAGATCTGTTATAACTTATAAGTAAGTTTGCTCAAGACATCAATTTGAAGCCTAATTATTCCTTCTTTCTTTTATGGTTGTCACGCTTTCAGCACTCTCTTCAGTTTGTGATGTTCCATACGACATTTTCTCTAATATCATTTTAATGTAATGATGATTCTTAAGAATGGCTATGGCTTTAGCACCTTTTAACCTTTATAAAAATAAATCTATTGATGTCATTGTCAAACTTAGCACCCTAAGTTGACCACTTTGAAACCAGCAATAATAATCAGATCCTTAAAAAGTTTAGCTTTATTTCCTACTCCAACGATTACAAAAAACAAAATTCTGATATGTAAGACTAAGATTATTTTTGCCTTTAACCAGTAAGAAATAAACAAGGTTAATGTTTTATCAATGTTACATTTGATCTTTTCAAATTAACAAAAATTACTTTTCTGGGACCCAGTGACTTAGTTCTGAAACGTCCTACATTTATCAAACCCTGGATTTTATGTCATTTCCTTATTTACCTGATCAGAGAACATGCTGGATACCACCTGGAGATAAACGATACTGCGGGAATACCAAGAAATCGGTCTCAAAAGTGAAAATGCAGCGATTTATTCGCGGTTTTTTAGAAAAAGTAGATTCCGAGTTAGGCTGGGCTCTATGCAATCCGCAGATTAAGTGCATGAGAACGGTCTCCTCCAGGGATCAGTGATGTCTGTCACGCTCTTTCTGTGGCGGTCAACAAGATCGCCGACTCCTTCTCCCCGCATATCAACAAAATGTGCATCGACGACCACTATTTTTACCTTTCTGGTAAGTATCTGGCATAAATTTGTGGAGGATTAGGGATGCGGTCACAAAGAAGTGAGTATTGTAATTTCTCGCCCTATTTGTGACTACATCCCTGATCCTCAACCAATTTGTGATATCTAGACGTTCGATTCATCTCACCTTCGTTATCTGGCATTGGTCGGCGGGGTGGTGCAATCGGTGAAAAACGCTGAGACTGCTAGCGCCGAGGAAACCGGTGGCGTCACACATCAAAGCAGTCGAATTCGTTACAGGACAACAGTCGGATTGCAAGTACATTGGTCACTTCAAGTGGGGAGCAGACAAGGAGACCCTACTAAAAGTATGTGCAGCCTTGTTCTGCTCAAGATTGTTCTCGTTGTTGGGGAAGTATTCGACCATCTGTCTTACGTTGGAACCACATTCCAATCTCGCTTGCCACTGGGTTAGTGTACCGCTCCTTAGCCTCTGCAGGGCGCTGTTCACATGCCTTGTAAGTTTAGTTTGACTTTCGATTGCCTGATGGTAATTTACTATTGAGGGCGATATCAATCGGCGTAGCATGACCATTTGGAAAGCTTGTGTTGAGATCGACCTAAAGCTTTAACTTTTCTCAGGAATGTTATTCTCTGGCTCTGCTCGAGTATATTTTTGGACCTGCCTTGGAATTTTGTAGCCCAGACTGAACCGCCTTATATCGCTATTGGCAAATGAACAGTTTTGTATATTGTGACAAGGACTTTTGGGCTCAGTTCCGCGGATATTGTGATTCTGCTTAGGATGGAGAATGTACATATAGATTTCTCTCTGATTATGATGTGACGAGCTGAGCTAAGGTTTTCTCCAAGTGCGACCCCTAGATATTTGCTTGGTTGTAGTAGCTTGGTTTTTAATGGTTTTCCTTATATTCTGACAATCGGAGCAATTGCAAGTTACCTTGGTAAAAAAATTATTAACTAAACTGCTTTTATTTTGTTATTGCATATCAATTCAAATACAGATTTGTAAATAACATTTTTCTTATTCTTTTTCTTGAAGGCTGAATATATTTTCATCATTTTCATCCGTTTTCTTAATGATTATCGATACCAGCATCGCATTGTCAAAGAACAATTATCTTGCGAAAGCGTTTGAAATGCCCTGATGTGATGTCTTGAAATAATTGCGTGTCAAGGTAGAAAAACTAATGCCGGTTGGCTTAAATATTATATATGAAAACAATAATGAATGAACGCTATCCATATAAACGATCTCAAAACGTTCTGTACAAAACTATCAAATTAATTTTAAATTTCAACTAATTAATCGTTTTATGTAAAAGTTTTTGTTTGAAATGAAAAGTTAATGTCACGAGCGGGATTCGAACCCACGACCTTCGGCTAAATACACTAACACTTGAGTTATCGTGACTTCGATCCAATCAGACACCAACTCCCCTCTCAACCTGTAACCTTTCGAGATTTCCCTCCTTTTTGCCATTTTTCAGGGCTAAGGTGGGGAGTTAGTGCCCGAGTGGATCGAAGTCACGATAGCTCAAGTGGTAGAGCAGCGACTTATTTAGCCAAAGGTCGTGGGTTCGAATCCCGCACGTGACACTAACTTTTTCATGTTGATCAAAAACCTTACATAAAAAGATTAATTAATTGAAAGTAGTAATTTGGTCAATAGACCACTAAATATAATGGATTTAATTTTAAATATTCAACTAATAGTTGATTTACCGCCTCTGAATATGTCAGTAATAAATATGAGAGGTTTTTTCTCTATTTATAAGCAATAGAGAAATTATTTTAAATTTTTAAAAATTTGTAGCTTATGGTTACAGTAAAGTAAATTTAATCAGCCTTAAAAATGTCTTCACGTGATAATGTTAAAGAAATATCATTTCAATTAATTGGATATTTTAATTATTTTATATATTTTTTCTTGTCGATCTAACTGATTATTGGCAATTAGTTAAATTAATTCATACTTGAACGCAAACTTTTTGAAAATTTTAAAATAATTAAAAATCTTAAAAATTTATTCATTTCAATTGATTTTAAAAAAATTGACAGTATAATGCACTAATTTTATTATTATTTTCGTAGTACTAAGTCGTGACTTAATGTCTAGAATGAAAAGTCACGTGTTCACAATGTAATGTTTACAAAAACATACATTAAAATCCCACAATAAAAATTAATTAATTTTAACTTTTTTTTTCAGAATCGACTTGGGAAATGACGATGCAAGTATAACAAAAACTGGAAGGTCACGAGAAAGTAAGTTATGGCTTATATATTTAATTGATAAATTACGGAAAATCAAAGTGTTGATAACCCTAACACTCATAAAAGTATTTACTGTTTAAAAGTTTAATCCGCTTTATTGATAAAACAAACTATTTTGGTCTATTCGTTTCAAAGCATTCTCACTGTGTTAATTAAGCGGGCCAACTTCACGCTTACTTTTCTTTAAATTAATAGAACCACTTTGAAGTATAAGCAAAAACAATAAATGAAATCAATTAGCAAAACGAATGAATCTTTCATAAAAATTGGTGATTGGATATTGATTATATCAGTTGACAAATCATAATACATAATTACATACATACATTACATACTTATGAATGTTATAAATGTACATTTAAAACTTTTTTTTGTAAAAACAAAATTTTACAGTTTATTTTGGTCTATTTAGTTTAACAAACTTATATAATTAATTCAAACCAAAATTTTCTAATAAAAAATGCTATCCAAAATGAATCTTCTATATATTCATTTGATGGTTAAAATGGTTTTATGGATAGCAAAATTAACACACACTAAATCTCTACTCAAACAGTGACGCTATAATGTAAAGAAAAGTAATTACTGTCATAGGAGGGCTTAATGTTCAACTGCCCGTTGGGTGTTCCGTAGGAGTAATAAAATACAATACTTTTTTCATCATTAAAATTCCATGGGTTCCGCTGGTTCAAACCCTGACCGCTTCTCGTGTCAAATATTCGTCGAACGCCCTAACACCGCATCTTTTTCGAGGGTTTGTACGCAAATACTATATAAGTTGTGACGACCTTGTGGTCATTTCTCCATTGAGTCTATACCGGCTAGGCGCCAGGAGAGCGAAACTCTCCATTCCCTCGCACTCGATTTTTTTTTTCTGCGCAGGGCTTAAGTGAAAAAGGGGTCAGTGTCCAGGCACCATTGACACCTCCTGCAAGCTCACTGGAGGTGTAGATGTTTTCCCAGACCAATCCGCTCACTCATCCACCTCAGACGGGCCAGAACCCGCAGCCGACACAAGGCAGGGAGTTAAACGATGAAGAGGGGAATAAATTAAATTTCGTGAATTAAGCTTGTTTTTTGGACAGAAATCTGAAGACGGTGCCAAAGTGTGGGGACAGAAATGTGTGATAAGTGGTGTGTTGTTCTTAGAAGGGAGTAACGTAGAGTACCGTATAGCATATGCTTAATCGTGACCACCGTTTGACAAATGGAGCAAATTGGTGTAATTCTTACGGTCATGTAGGTATCCGTCGGTAAGGCGGGAGTGTCCGATTCTTAGTCTAGTTAGGATTGTTTATTCTTTCCTAGTGGGTCGAATTGAGAATTGCCATAGTTTAACTTTTTTATTTGAAAGAATTTATTTGTAATGTTTTTTCTATTCCACTCATTTTTGTTTGATACGGGTGCATAAATCCTTGTAGGGAACCTCTTTGTAAGGAATTCACGAAATGAATTCTTTACCTAACTTGTCGGCTTTTTCGTTCCCATGGATGCCAATGCGACTGGGAATCCACATGAAAATAAATTTAACATTTTGAGTGGAGAGTTCTTTTAGTTTGTAAAGAATATGATGGATGCAAGGTCGGTAAGAAAAGATATTGTTGATTAACATTAAAGTTTAGAGGGAGTCAGAAAAGAGTATAACAGTCTTTGGGAAACAGATTTTATAGCAAAAGCTTTAAGGATGGCCACAAGCTCGGCGAAAAAGTTAGAGCGTTGTTGAGGAAGTGAAAACTGTAAGAACGGGTTCCACAGATAACGGCAGATCCTAAGCCTTCGTTAGGTTTAGATCCACCGGTATGCAGAAAGTCGGTACAAGGATAAAGGGAGAAAAAATTGTAAAATTCTTCACCCTAAAGAAATAAGGGGGGGGGTATTACGTTTGTTAAAAGCGGAGAACTGCAGAAAGATCTCGTTTAATTTTGTTTACATTAAAATAAGTATGTTGTAATTAATGTAACGATTCAAATATATATAGTTTGAACTAAACAATAAAATACCCATGTCCCGTTTTTTCAGTATATATTTAATGAAAATATTATAATTTATTATATAAAATTAATAAGATTTGCCTTTGAAATGTCGACTTATTTGTTTTTTTAAATTTAATTAAACTTAAAAATTGGTGGAAAAATTGTGTTCAAAATTAACGTTGATCTACATTTTATATTTAAAATGATAATTTTTGTTTTAGTTTAAGATAATGTTAATTGTAACTTATGTTGATAATAAGTTTAAATAATGAACTAATTGTACTGGTGTAATAATTACCTCTTAAGATTTGGACAGTGTATTTTTAACTTAATCAAATGTTAAAAACAAATTTAAAAAACGTATGAAAGCAAAATTCATTTTATCTGATATAGTATTTAGAACACTGTTTTGTAAGAGTAAACATTGTGTGGAGGAAATTCTCCGTTCACTGAACAGCAGTTTCACTACGTGAGCGAAACCCGTGTATATTTATGAAATAAAGTGGCAAAAGGAGTGGGTGGGCTGTTGTCTCGTTGCGTAACATGCTTGGTGATCGATGGAAGAAAATGATAGATTTTCAAAAGGCCCTTCTGATAATTTCGGCCGAGATAAAAAAGCTGATCCAGCCAGGTTCACAAGGCTTTTCTGTTATAGAAAGTGAGCGATTTGGAATTCAGGTTTCTGTGCCGGGCGACGTCACGCCCGCTACCTCGATTCCTATCGCGTTCGTTTTGTCGTCCTTTTTTTCAATTCTCTTTGTATCTGTGACCTGTGATAGTGCAGTCTATGATAAAAACGATAATTCATAACGTTGCAGTTTAGGTTCAACTCGGGTAAAATGCGTCATTTGTCATGTTATGACAGGAGGACCATACCCAAAAACAATTTACTTATTATTTAATTTAACTTATCTATATCGTTCTAATTTTAGTATATGTACCGCCGAAGGTAGAGGGTACTTTAAGTTTTAAACTTTATTCCGTTAAACAATTGGACGGTTGTTTAAGTTTACGTTAACACCGTAGTCTGCTATCGGCTTTTCGTCGGTATATTCGACAAGGTTCGGCGGCATGGCCTTAGCAAAAAATAACAGAATAAATAAAGATGTTTTAATCGAATTGTTGATATAGTTTCATCCATTCAGCGTTATTTACCGATAGCAATTACTCTGGAATTATACGCGTTTCTTCTCTGAAGCGTTTATCAGCTTTAACCTGACAATTTTATACAGAACACAAAATTAATATTAAGTCAGAACACGCGAATACCTATTTAAACAGAGAAATATAATGTTTATTATACCAGTATTTCTGCACACTTTAAAATATATGTATGTCTGTTTTTTGATAAGGTGTACAATAAATAACGAGTCAAATGAAATTGGTAATACACATACAATATTTCGATTTTTACTTTTTGTAAATTCTTTATTAAATAACGTATTATTCGTTTTTCTAGAATCATTCAAATTCACAAAAATTCTTGCCTTTTGATATTGACGGAACGTAGATTTTTCAAAAAAAATTTTGGCCGATATTTAATTAATTAACGTTATTTGCTTCCCGTTGACTTAATTAATTTAAGGTTTGTTTGGTGATTTTTAAGATTTGTTAAATGATATCAGTTTTTTTCTAATATAATTCGACAAGTTTAGCGAGTATGAAAATCCTGAAAATGAGCCCAGTGGGGCCGAACGCTGTGTCAAGCGTACCAAGGTCTACGTCGGCGTGTTGCAAACGTTGCCACGGCAACTCTCACTCTTGCCGGACAATATTTCCAGAGGTACGAAGACAAAAGAGATAGCTCAAAATCAAAATGGGACGAAAGGTCGGGGAAAAATGCCAAGAGGAAAACTGCACAAAGGTCAGGACAAAGTACCGTGATCCAAAGAGAGACCCCGCACTTAGAGGGACTTTTTTTATTTTTTGGAAGGGACGAGACCCGAAGCGGATTTAAATAACCAGACTTGTATCAGCTGAGAGCTTTCACTCCTTTCCCACTCTGAAAACTGACAGTGAAAGTTTTGCTTTCTTTACCGGATGACTTGCTCACTTTTATGTCTGCAACCGGGATCTTCCTCTACATCCGCAATACGGATCCCTAGTTTCACCGTTATTTATGCCCCCTTCCGACGACCTTTCGATTGCTCTGGTTATCTCAAATCTACCGCACACGAACAGGATTTAACGCTTATTTTAAGGTAGCTGTATGTGCTATAGTTTCGTCGGCAGCTAAACACAAAAGCAAAAGATCAATTTTTTGTTTTTTTGTGAATGCCGATAAAATAGTCTCCAGGTATCGATCAGTAAAGACTTTAACAGAATGGAGGCCAAGAGAAAGAAAACTCAAATACATTTTAAAACGGGTTACTCGAACATTTACCTAACAAACCAGTTCCAAAGAATCCATCAAAATGGGCGCGATAAAGCGCCGTTCGGGGCCCAACCCATCCCCCCTGAGTTATGATTTCTGACAATAAAACACAAAAAAACCTATAGGTCCTGTCTTCGGTTGAAGTGGGTGTGAAGTTGTCAAAGAGGGAGCAGTGGTTGTAAAGTTCAAGGATCGAAATATTTTCCTGAGCGGCCTTCCTCAGTCGGACCAAACTCAATCCAACCTTGGCATTAACAGCACTAGCTAGGTCTTGAAATTTTAATTTTATTTATAACATTTGGTAATAAATTAAATTATGCATCCGTCTTGTAAATCAAGATTTGAATCGATAGAAATAATCTAATTTTAACTACAGCATTCCTTTTCTTCTAGTGTGCAAATGACAATTTAAGAAAATATTTAAAAAGTGAATTGTGACACACAAGTTTGATTATAAACTCAAAGACAAAAAAATCCTGACACTCTATTTTGTAGTTTATTCCTAATTATATGTATGTATTTTTATTGTTATACTGATTACAACATATATATATATATATATATATATATATATATATATATATAACGTATGTGGTATAATGTAATAAAATCAAATTAAATGAGATATGAAATTTACGGGTTTT